CTTTTAAATTCGCAGTAAAAATATTTTTGGTCACTCGTTTATTAGTAGAAATGATCTACATACACTCTACCCTTAAATCCTGACCCGTTTGACCCGGGTTAGATTAATTTTTGACCCGTGACCCTCTAGTTCAAAAATCAAGATTTTTTTTTTTTTTTGATTGGTTTGTGATGTCACTTTATTTGAGATTATAATTCTGTCCAATCAGAAATGCGGTTTATCAACCGCCGATTATTTAATATTAATATCATAGATGTATTATCGTTATATTTCATCAAGATAAAAGCCCCAACGGAGTAAATTCTTTGAATTCACAGTGATTTATGATGAATTTTTTTCATGTACTATATATTTTGTATAAAATACCCAAATTTATTGATTCTTGTGATTTTTGTGATTGTTTGCCATGCCAAACCGAGCCAGCAGTTAGTACTACGTGAATCGAGTAAATTATTATCGTTATTTAACTAAATTCAGAAATTCAGAAATCTGAATCATTATCTTAATTTGTTCGATATTTAACGTTAAATGCTAAATCCGAATCACAACTCGAATTAATGTTAGAATAATGCAAAGCGAAATATTATTTCGAGATTACCCCCGTTCTATTGCCCTTCGGCCGATTCAATTTGAAAATAATGGTAACCCCTACGGAAAATCAAATCCTTTATTATTATTATTTGATCAAGTACAGCAAAGTTATAACGATTCTCCATTACAATGCAATGTAAGACTTCTACGTGAATCTGATGTTGATATAATGGAGTATCGACAGCTTGGCTCAAGGGCCGTTTATGGGTGCCTTGGATTGCTTCAAGTTGAACGAGGTAATATATTATTCCTTTTTTCGTAAATTTGACCATATAAAAAACTATTACTTATATATCTTAAATTTTAAGAAATGTTCCTAGCGGTTGTAACAGAATGTATTCCTCTTGGGGAAATTCGTTCAAATGAGTCCGTTTTTCGAATTATCGACGTAGAATTTTATTCGCTTACCAATAATACACGGTATTCTGTTTCAACATCCGCCAGCAATAGATATTATGATGATAGTTCGCTCAACGAATCGTCACAACAACAATCTTATGAACATCCATGTACTCAATTAAGAAAGTTACTGTCAAATGGCCACTTTTATTTTTCTTCGGATTTTGATTTAACAAAAACTTTGAACGTTAGGTATAATTATGTAATTTTATTCCCCTGATCCACGGATCTATGAGCACATAAATTTTATAATAAATTATTTTATTATAATATCAGGTCAAAAACATCATCAGCGGATAAATATACTTATGATGATCATTTCCTATGGAATAAATTCATGATTAATGAATTGTTGAACTTTAGATCTAAACTTAGCAAATTAGAGCAATTAGAAATGGATACTTGCGGTTTTCTAGTAGGTTTTCTTTTTGTACCTTTGAGTCAAGATTTGTAAATCAGGTTTTTCTCATATGTTTGTCTTAATTCAAAGGTGTTAGCTATTCAAGGATACGTTGGAATACAAGAAACACGGATTGATTCTTCGAATGTGACCTTATCACTCATATCTAAATTGAGTTGTAAACGTGCTGGTAAGTTTCTCTTTTAATTTTAATATTTGCCATTAGTATTCTCTGATGAATAGGCTATCGATTCTTTTCAAGGAACAAGGTTCAACATTCGTGGAATAGATGATGATGGAAATGTTGCTAATTTTGTCGAGGTATTGATAGTTTATATTCGAATGAACAAATATATGTGGCTGTAATTCAATGACTTGCGATTGATCTTTCAGACTGAAACGATATTACAACTGCCTGAAACATGTTTTTCTTATATCCAAATTCGAGGGAGCGTGCCAGGTATTAACATTAATAATTATGATGATATATATAAATCAACATGAATTCACTATAATTCCGTTGCTTTTAGTATTCTGGGAACAGCAGGTAAAGCAAGTTTTTACTTCAGTCATTTTTCTTAACTATCACATAAATTCATCTAATATATTTTTTTTATTACTTTAAGGGATTACAAGTAATGGCTCATAAAATTCAGGTATCGCGTGGTCCTGCAGCGACACAACCCGCTGTCGAGCGTCATTTCAATGAACTGCAGAGCAGATATGGTGATGTACATATCGTAAATCTTCTTGGAGTTAAAGAGGGCGAATATGTATTGAGCAAAGAATATAAAGATCGTATAATAGATTTAAACGGGAATGGCTTAGAAAATAGGGTGTTGTTTACAAATTTTGACTTTAATTCGATCTGTAAAACCGGAAATTATGAAAATATGATACAATTATTTAGCATTATTGGAGAAAAATTAGAATATTTCGCGTTCTTTGCTCTGGATAGAGAGACGAACAGTCCCATATTTTATCAAAAAGGAGTTTTTAGAACTAATTGCATGGATTGGTATTTGTCGCTATTTTTTATTTTATTTTTATATCGTAATTTGATAAGATATTTATTTTTTATTTTAATCAATTGTGTTTTAAGTCTAGATAGGTATTATCACATTCGTTTTTAGATGTTCTCAAAATATTATACTCACCCGTAGAGATCCATGTTGACTCAAGGTTTTTTCCCCTAAATTTTGTAGCTTTGTTATCATCCAAAGCAAACTGGAGTATTGAATATCATTAAATTTTGGGGATATAATCTTGGGTTGGCGTAGACTTTCGCGTGTGAGAGTAATATCTTACTGTTACTTGTAAATGACAATCATTTCTGGTACAATAGAACAAATGTAGTTCAAACTGCATTATCAAAAGATGTGATGAATACATATATTAGACTTATGGGAAATATTTCGGAATCTGATATTGAAAGTCTTCAATCCCGGCATTCTATTTTATGGGCAGAAAATGGCGATGGCCTATCAAAAATTTACACCGGTACTGGAGCTCTTAGATCAGAATACACCCGAAGCGGAAAAATCACATGGGCCGGTACATGTTTCTTAGTGAAATTCTGTCATCCCATACACTAAAACTTCATCATACTTAATATATATATGCATATGTTGGATTGCCCTGTAGGTGTCCTGACCGATGCTACAAAGACCGTTAACAGATTTTATATCAATAACTTTCAAGACAAGTCAAAGCAGGAAGCAATTGATTTGTTACTTGTAAGTTCAATTGAGTAAATTATAAAATTCCATGAAATATGATTACATAAATTTTTATTAAACTTTCTAAAGGGAAAACTGTTAAATTCAAAAGCAATTGAGATTCATGATCCAGTTAATGAAGCGATACGTCAAGATATCTTAAACAGGTAATAACCACTATACGATAATTATCAACAAAACGTAATTATTCTTGTTTTTTCATAAAATATCAAATATATATACTATATAGGTTAAGCGACTATTGTTTGAAATCTACGATCAATGTATTTGTCGGTACATACAATTTGAATGGACGCCTACCGTCCGGAGAGTCTCTCTCATCTTGGTTATTTCCTTTTAGTGATTGTACGTACTGGAAATCCTTGATTTTGAGCATTTTATGCAAATTTAATTTATTATTATTCTTTTTTAAATAGACGAGCCTGATCCCCATTTATTTGTCATCGGTTTTCAGGAGATTGTCGAGTTAAAAGCACAACAGGTAAAACGAATGATTTTTCATTCATACATAATCTTAAAGGTTGTAAGGCACACAATAAATTTAAAATTTTCATAAATAAAATTCAGATTGTTTCAGCTGATCCAGAAAAATTGTAAGTTTCATTTATAACGTCTTAATGTTTTATATACTTTGGTAATATATATATATATATATATAATTTAGACGAATTTGGGAGAAGGAAATAAGTAAAGCTTTAAATAGTCGCTCTGGTCAGCGTTCTAATTATGTAATATTGAGGTCCGGGCAGTTAGTCGGTACGGCTTTAGTTATTTACGCGAGATCTGATATTGTATCCAATATACGCAATGTTGAATATATAATGAAAAAGGTCAGGATCATCTTCTCTCGTCTCTAATGACCAATATTTAATAACCTACGGCTTGCGTTTAATAATTTTTGATATTGCAGATGGGCTTAGGCGGTATGGCTGGAAACAAAGGAGCTGTTGCCATTCGCCTTGATTATCATGATACCAGCATATGCTTTGTCACAGCACATTTGGCGTCTGGTAAGAAAAAAAAAAATTTATCCACATTCGATTTATTGTTAATATACGTGCTTAATGATCACACGTAGGACAATCAAACACAGAAGATAGGAATAGAGATTACCATACCGTCAATGATGGATTAATTTTTCGAAATGGTCGTCGCCTCTTACATCACGAGTAAGTAAATTTTTACGATGAAAAACTTTTAATTTATTCGTCGACATAATTTATTAATCATTTTTATGCTTAAGATATGTTGTTTTCTTTGGAGATTTTAACTATCGCATAAATTTAGGAAACGAGGAGGTAATTTCATTATTTAAATATGATACCTCTTTCAACATAAGCAATAATGATATCGTATCTGATTAGGTTAGAGAACTCATATATCAGGAAAATTTCGAACAACTATTGAAATTTGAGCAGGTAAAATAATAAATTTTTATAAATCAAAAATTCCGATATCGTATTAAATAGGAATTTTTTAAATGTTATTTTTTATAGTTGACAAACCAAATAAACTACGGTTACGCATTCACGGAGTATATTGAAGGGCCCATTACCTTTTTTCCCACATATAAATACGATAATGGAACTGATGAATATGACACTAGGTATTTACAAATCTCTGATTGAATTAGTTGAAGTCTGCTGCAGTATATTTATTTTTTCCATTAATTTTTTTAGCGAGAAGGCTCGAGCACCTGCATGGACAGGTTAGCTTTATTACCATGACATATAACGTATAATTCAATAGTTATTAATTCAAAGTTAATCAATTTTAGATAGAATATTATATCGAGGAAATAAAGTTAGTTTTTAGTAAAATGTATCTTTTGTTTCCTTTTGTTATTTTATTTTTTAGGTATTTAATAAATCATTTGTTTTTTTTAGATCCGACAGATTGGATACTCTAGGGCGGAATTAAGGGTTTCTGATCATCGACCAGGTAAATGTTTGTTAAATTTTGTATAGAATCAATGACATTTTACAATGCTTATATATACATTAAATTTTATAGTCATGTCATCATTTGATATAGAGGTAAGCAAATGCGCCAATATTTTATTCATATCTTAATATTGACCTTTTTTTTTCTTTTTAGGTAATTAAACTTGACGAAGTTGCAAAAAAAAAGATACAGGGGGAACTTTATCTCGAGAAACAAAAAACATTGTCGAGAATTAGTGATAGTAAACTAGAAAAGACAAATTATGCTAGAAAATTTAATAATGCGTCGGATGATCATAAAGATGATATAACTACTACTGATAATAGTAATATAGACAAAGAGACGGGGCCTCCTGTTGGTGTTTTGATTAATTTTGATGAGAGCAATAAAAAAGATGGATGTTCGTATTAATTTGAATAAGTTCTAAGGGCTTTTTTTTAAAATTACACATTTCTTAACATGTATTTATTATAATTTCCCATTAAAATTTGAATTTCGACTTCTTTTAGTACCACCACCAAGCTCAGAAACTTTTCAGTGGTGGGCAGATTTTAAAGGTATTGTTATAAGCGATTTTCTAGTCTTTTTTTGGTGAGAATAAATTATTTAGTAATTTTCGAAATAAAATTTAATAACATAGGCGATTCTTCATCACCAATGGTTGTAGACAAGAGTGTCATAAATCGGAAGTATAGAAATTTTTCCAGCAATCCTTTTTATGAATCGAATCCACGGTTAATGAGGTCAATGTCGCTGAAACCATTGATACCGTCCAAACCTACAACACCCAAACCGGTGATAAGACAAAATAGTATGGGAAGCATTCTAAGAACAAATACCTTTACTGAAAATGATGATGAGTTTTTGGCAAAGGCACCGAAATTATTTGATATATAAGCAAGAATATTTTTATAGAATATATTCCTTAATAATATTATAAATAAATATATATTTTACTTTAAGTTTTTGCTACAATTATGAAATTTATATAATATTCATTGGCTTTGAATATTTTATATATCATAGAAAAGAATTATCTTTTTTATTTGCTTTAAAAAATACAGAAACATGAAAGAAAATAAAATTTAACATTTTGCATTATTTTCTTTTTATTCATTATACAGAAGCTGCTTGAAGCGAAATTTGTGTCCTACAGTATTACAAATTTAATAAAGCATTTGTATATGACGAAGTAATTTTTCCTATTGAGCTTTCTATAATTGCAAATATAAAATTTTCTATCGTCGCGTTTTTTTAATATTAAAATTGTCGGTGATCTCACTTCATCCGTACAACGAGGTATATGACACATATCCGTTGTCACACCCAAAAGTCTCTTCTCTAAGACTCTTAAGGGACGGGGCCGATATAATAAAGATACTATATCTACGTCGGTATGGAAGGTAAATGGTAAAGGTTTAAGTCAATTCTATGACTTATCAAAGATGATTGTATAAATCTTTATTCGAAAGAGGCACAACACAGATATATATGAGGATATATAAGGCCATACAAATTTGATTACTTGGTTTTCATAACATGAAACTTTTAAATAGACCCGGCCGGCCGGCTTT